GCAGGCTTTCACCCTGGCACCCCCCCGTGAAATGAACCGGGTGTGGGGTTCCTGCACTCTGCAGATAATGAACTATGTGACATCTATGTGTACACACACACAGCCTATGATTCCTGTCACACATAGTCATATATAGAATTCATATATCCGGGCTGGGATCGTGGCTCAGCGGTGGAGCGATCACCTCATACAGGGCGGGCCCGGGTTTGGTCCTCAGCACCACATAAAAATAAAGGCATTGTGTGTGTCCATCTCTACCTAAAACATAAGTAAATAAATATTTTTTAAAATTAAAATCAAGGTTGGGGATGTGGCTCAAGCGGTAGCGCACTCGCCTGGCATGCGTGCGGCCCAGGTTCGATCCTCAGCACCACATACCAACAAAGATGTTGTGTCTGCCGAGAATTAACTAACTAACTAAATAAATAAATCCCCCCCCTCTCTCCCCACCTCTCCTCTCTCTAAAAAAAAAAAAATTAAAATCAAATTCATATATCAAAAATAATGCGTATTTAGTTATATAATTGTAGGTGGTTTTGCACACTTGTGTGCATTGTTCTGTCTCTACATGTGGTAAAAGCAAAAACAATCCAGGTACCAAGGTGGAGTATTTCCTCAAATGGTTGTTTTCACGTTCTCCTTCAGGTGGCCCCGCAACTGGGAATCGGCTTGCAGTCATGTACTACATAGGGGTATGTCCTCCTGTGTCCCCCCGCCTCCCAGTTTCCACGGTGCCTATGTTTGATCTGCGTCTTTATTGCTTTCCAACTGAGTGTTAGATCCCCGCAGTGCAGAACCCTTCTGTTCTTCAGGGTGCTCGCCCTCCTGACTGTTCACTAGACTTGTGTGATGGTAACCTGAACACGGGAGTCCAGGAGGCCAGGGGCCGTGTGACGGAGCTAGTCTTGAGTGGAGAGGAGGCTCTGCTGGAAGAGGACGCTCCTCCGCCTCTCCACAGTGTTGGGCAGATCTCGCCAGCGCCCCCCCCCCCCCGGGAGTCCCAGTGCTGTGGACAGCAGAGGTGTGTGGTGTGTGTGAAGGAAGGTGGGGCCGTGAGTGCAGGCTTTGTAGTCACTGACCCCAGACCTTCTGAGTGGATGGTGTCCCTGTCCCTGCATTCCCTCGAAGGCAAGCTGGCTCAGTAACATGGGCTCTTCCGCGTCATAGGCATGTTGGAGCCGAAGTCTCTGCAGCTCTTACGAACACTCACACTGTGGGTGCTCGGTCGACGGCCCACCTAACAATCAGTGTGGGAGAGAGGGTTACAGCATCTGATGGTCTAAAACCAGGAGTCTTGGAGTTTCCAGGGCCACGCCTGGTGTCAAGAGCCACTGGGAGGGTTCGTGGGACACTGTGAGGGTCTTAGGGTGTGACTACTGACTTCAATCCCCAGTATCCTCCCCCCCCCCCCCCCCCGCCCCGAATTACACTTCAGCCCCTTGTGGTGGTGCAGGCCTGTCATCCCAGGGGTTTGGGAGGCTGAGGCAGGAGGAGTGAAGTTCAAAGCTGGCCTCAGCAACCTAATGAGACCCTCTCTCCGAATCAAATATGAAAAGGGCTGGGGATGTGTCTCAGTGGTAAAGTGCCCCTGGGTCCAGTCCTCACTACCTCCCCGTGTGTGGCTCATGCCAGTTACTCCCTGGGAGCTCCCGGCTCACCACCTGCAGCTCTTGCTGCTAGCGGATATGGGTAGACGGGACGCCACTCAGAGAAAGAGTTGTGGGCAGGAGCTGCGTAGCTGACCACGCTCCTCTCCAACCGTGGGCACTCTGGTTTCTCCTGGGGAATCTTCTTGGATGATGGCCAGGTTGCACGCGACTAAGACACTCAGGGTCACTCCAGGGGACTAGGCTGCATGCAATAACCACCAAGAGACAGAGAGACCTTTTTCTTTAGGGGTCCGCAGAAAGAGGGAGAGAGAGAGAGAGAGAGAGAGCCCCCCCTTGCGTGGCTGACCCCTTTTATTGAGGAGAAGCTATTCAAATGAAGCCAGGGGTCAGGTTTCAGGGGGCTGAGTCTGGCTTCATGATGTCCACTGTCAGCAGATTGACTGACATCTAGGAAGGCCATACCCAAGGGCAGAGCAAGAGAAGGGGACACACAAAGAGCGTTTCCATGGAACATTCTATGCCAAACAGGGCAAGGGGTAACATCACAAAGGAACAGGTGGGCGTAGGTCCACCCATGGGGGTGTGGGAAGGCACACCCAGGCACGAAGACTCAGTCGCTCTAGGCAGCCAGATCACAGAGTGACATGCCACACCCATCAGAAGAGGAGATGACGCGGTCATGTGCTAGTGGGCTCCCACAGGTGACGTGCAGGAGCAGCAGAATGACAAGGCAAATATACAGTGAAATTTAAAATTCTTCCAAAAGGTGACTCATGACCACACTGTGGTCCGAATCCGGCTCCTTGACAAGAATGTTCAGTCTCACAATCGAGAGGACATCCTCAAGCCATCCTTCCTGTGTTATTGGTTCATGGTCACGTACACCACGGTGGGGACTGTGGCACATGTCTGTACAGGTGCAGAGTGTGACCTACAGTCTGCCCAGGACCCTTCCCCGGGTCTTCCTTTCCTCTTTCCCCCGGGTCCCTCTACGCCACTGGGCTCCCTTCAGTTTGGGTGAGATCCTCCCTTATCTTCCCCTTTTTCCTCCCTGCACCCACAGGACAGGAAGCACAGGAGCGCCTTCCGAGTCTGATTCCTTAACCTGCTGTTCTCAAGTTCCATGCATTTTCCTGCAAATGACATGATTTCATCTTCTTTATGGCTCAATAAAAGTCCACTGTGTGTACCCCATCGCTTCTCTACCCACCCATCCCTAGGTGGATACCAGGCTGGTCCATAGTCTGAAAGCCTTAAGGTTCCTAATGTTTGTAAAAATGAGGCTGAACATGCTTATATCTTCATTCTTATAAAAGATAATTACTATCAACTCAATGAAGGGAGTTCCCACTGTTTACTAACACCCTTGGCCAGTCTGGAAACAGTGCTGAAGACGTATTTTGCAGCATAAATATAAATGAATTAATGACGGTAGTCTCATTCACTGCGGCCCGTATCCTTCATTCTGCGGTGGTTTATGTTTACTTCCTTCTGTCTTGATACAGCACATAAAGCTTACATTTGCTTTATTAGGATTATTTTATATCTTTCACTAGCTTTACTTAGCACCACACTAAATTAATAAGGCTTTTTAAAGTTACTATTATGAATGAATAAGGACGAATTTGGCAAAATTGTAACAATAAATTTACTAAAATTTACTAAACTTGAATGCAGAGGTAAATTCACAGAGTTACAAACTGATCTGGCAATTTATGGTTTTAATACTTTAATACATCCTTTCAGTCCATGGAAAACGATGGCGCTTGTTAGTACAAACTCATTCCTGCTTCTCAGAAGTTCTTCTGACTCACGTGGTGCACTGTGTGGCTACTTGTCACGAGGCAGGTGATGTGAACTCAGTTGAGACCAGTCTTCAGGTTTTCAATCTCCATCTTTTCCAGCCCGTGTCTGAAGCCCAAGCCTCTCTCCTGGTGGTGGTCAGGCCAGCCGCGGCTCATCAGCCACGTGACCGTGAGGCGCCTGGGTGTGCCCTATGGCTGGAACTTTTTGGATAGAGGAACTCAATAAATCGCCAGACACTTCTGTCCACCAGCCTCTGTGCCCGAGGACTCTGCCCAGCGTAGGCCAGTGTAGGTGTTCTGGGCACGTTTAGGGTGCTCTAGGCCAGGCGGTGGCGTCGGGTGGCTAGGAGGGTCGAGTGCACTTTCAACTGACAGTATTTTCAGCACATGGGTCTATCAGGATGTAACATCATGAATTCACAGACATCTACGTACAACTTGTGTGAAAATATAATGGGGTGTTTCTCAGAAACTATTTTTGTTTCAGTTACACATAAACAGTAACGGGACACGTATTGAGGGATTGTACTCAGCCCCCCGTCTGTCCCTGGTGACATCTCATAGATGAACCTGGTCAGGGCAGCCTCTCGACACTGCAGTAGGAAACAGTCCAGGTGTTTTTATGGCTGTTATTGACCCTGTCACCGCAGAATCAGGGACACAGAGGCGTGAGAAGTTTCAAGAGAACGAGGCGTCCATCATACCAATTAGACTACATACTTCACAAACGGGGACAGAAAGAACCTGGTAGGCCGCGTAGACCTTGTAGGGACACCCATCTGGATGTCTCACCTGGAGGTGCATCCATGAAGGGAAAGCCTTCCCTGGGGACCTGTGGCAGCCACGACCTCTAACAGAATGGAGGACAAGCAGCTGATACGCATTTTAAAGATGCTTTTGATTGATGGCGCTAAACTCAGGAAAATAAGCCAGACCCTGGGGTCCCTGCGCACGTATTGCCACGTGGTGGTGACCTGACCAACTGAATAAGGGCCTCTTCCAAAGCTCCTGCAAATTGGGCTAACAGAATTCCAGACAGGGCATCCTGGGAGATGTAGTCCTGGCCTGCCCACGTGACCGTGACGCTAGCCACCTCTGTCTCCAGATGGCTGCTCCTCTCAGGCTTCTCTTCCTGATTCAGACCCATGGTCCAGTCCCCAGCGGGACGAAGAGCCCAGGGCATCCTGTGAAAACAGCACTTCACCCCGACCGCTCTCAGGGTCTCTGCCTGCTGCAAGTCTCTGCCGACGAGTCAACCAACTGATAAGTGGCCGCAGAGCTCTACAAATAGAACCGCAGTCCTCTGGCCAAAGGTGTTTTTTCTGATAATACATACCTTATGTAAGTAAAAAAGTATTAACACCAAAATTGTTAGTTTTCTCAATGAAATAAAAAGGTAGGAAACATGGGTATGTGATGCTCCGCGCGGAACACAGGGACAGTGAGATGCTAACAAACCCACCTTCCGTTGGCCTCATGACCCGTGTTGACAGAACCACCAACGACTACGAAAGTCACACTTCCAATGTCAAAAACACACTGCAGATTCCCCATCGGTGCAGCACACTTCAAAATGAGAACAAGCAACTGAATTTATAGGAAAAACTACTCTATTGAGATTTTATGTTCTATAAATGAAAGAGCACTTAGAGAAGTCTCACCCCAGTGTTTATTTGCAGGAAAACTGGAAATCCATTTGATAGGGTTTCACTTTTAGGATGAGGTATTGGCCAAGGCGAGGCCCTATTTATCAATAAGATTTCTCTCCTGGGGTAAATTTTCTGGACCTTTATAGATGACTTAATTTGCACAGGTTTTTTTGGTTTTTGTTTTTGTTTTTTACGTACTACTTACATTTATAGGGTTTCTTTCCATGGCGACTTCTCATGTGACCTTGGAAGGATTTGGCACAACTGAAACCTTTCCCACATTTTTCACATCTGTAGGGCTTCTCTTCCAGCTGCGCTGCGTTTTCGGAAGGCTGAGGGCCCCTGGGGGGCTTTTCTGCGCTGCTCACACTCACGCTCACACTCGCCGCGCTCTCTGCAGCGTGCTTCCTCAGGTGTCTGCGCAAGGAAGAGGCCCAGCCCAGAGCTTTCCCACACTTGTCACATCTGTAGAGTCGCTTTCCGTTCTGCATGATCACACTGGTGGAGGGACAGGAGCCCCCCGAAGGGGCTCCCGTCCTGCCGGCACTCACTGACTTCTTTTTCGTGTGCATCCTGACGTGTTTGTGCAGGGATGAAGGCCAACCGAAGGCTTTCCCACACTTTTCACATTTGTAGGGTTTTTCTCCGTTGTGAATTCTCACGTGTCTCTGAAAGGACGTGAGCCAGCAGTAGGACTTCCCACACTGCTTGCACTCGTAGGGTTTCTCCCCGGTGTGCATGATCATGTGCACGCGGAAGGACTTGGGGCAGCTGTAGGCCTTCCCACACTGCTCACACTCGAAGGGCTTCCCTCCCTTGTGCATCATCACGTGGACGCGGAAGGACTTGGGGCAGCTGAAGGGTTTCCCACACTGCTCACACTCGAAGGGCTTCTCCCCGGTGTGGGTCCGGATGTGCTCGGTGAGAGAGTAGGAACGGAGGAAGGTCTTCCCACAGAACCTGCACGCATAGGGCTTCTCCCCGCTGTGGGTCTTGACGTGCGTCCGCAGGTACGAGGGGCGGCTGAAGGCCTTGCCGCACTGGTCACACCTGTGCAGCTTCTGCCCCGTGTGGATTCTCCGGTGCCTCTGGAGGGAGGACGAGTGGGTGAAGACCTTCCTGCACTCGCCGCACTCGTAGCGCCTAGCTGCCCGGGCGCGTTTCCTGGGCGTCTGGCAGGAGGAGCCGCCACCCTCCTTCCTTTGACCCCGTGCACAAAGTCGCTTCAGCGAGTGAATTCTGTTAAAAACAGGGAGCAGGTTGACGACTATGAGCGATTCATTTTTTAAATTTTTTATATGTTTCTTACTTTTGATTTTTTATGTGGTGCAGAGGACGGAACCCGGTTCCTCCCACAGGCGAGGCCAGTGCCTACCCTGAGCCGCGCCCGCCCAGCCCCGTGGTCACTCACACTGCGGTCACACCCGCCTCCATGTGAGTGCAGGTGTTCTGCCCTGTTCTGAACCGGAGGCTCAGGAAGAGGGTTCAGCCCTGGACCGTGACGACAGAAATAGTGATGTCTGGGGACCCTGAGGGGTGGCTTCCAACCGCATCATCTTTCAGACACTCCATGCTCCAGTCATATTCAGAGAACTTCTGGAAACTTCTCTTTGAGTACATTTGGATCCAGCTTGATCCGCCTCCTCCCTCCCCCTTCTTTCCCTCCCCTCTTCCTGACGTTGAACCCAGGGGTGCTTAACCACCTCCCAGCCCACCCACCATTTTGCTGAGTTCCACCTTGACATTGCCGTCCTCCTGCATCAGGGCCCTGAGCGCTGGGATTTCAGGCTGTCACCACTGTACCCAGGCCTGGCTTTACACTCTTTTTGGGGTTTTTTTAGTTCTTTTTTTTAATTTCTCAGTTGTAGGTGAACACGATACCTTTATTTTTTATTCTTACGTGGTGCTGAGGATGGAACCCAGGGCCTGGCACCGGCCAGGGGGGCCTCTGCCCCCGCCCCCGCCCCGCCCCTGTGTGTGCCAACTTTCCTCCTTACGCACTGAGAGTCCACTAAGTGACACTCACCTCAGATGTCGCCCCTGTTTGTTGTCCCTCTTTTCGATGCTGTGCTGTCCCCAAGTCTCTCCCAAGAGGGAAGCCCAGGTGTCGTTCCTTTTGAACCTGGCGATCTTCTGCTTGTTGGACAACGAGGCTCCTGGCCGGGCGGGCCCCCTGCGCGGGCTGCCGTCATCTGAAACCCAGCCAGGGACAGACAGGAGGGCGGCGCTGAGGCCCGGCCCAGGCAGGAGCTCGCCGTCTCCTCATTCCACCGTGACGGGCCCCGGGACCAGAACGCAGGCCCCTGTCGTGCACAGAACCACCACAAGGACCACGGCGGAGACCTGCCTGTGGCCTCCGTCAGCCTTCTGTTGCTCCGACAGGACACCTGAGACCCGGACATGCTGAAAGAGGTCTGTCTGGGCTCGTGGTTCTGGAGGCTGGAGGCTGGGCTGCCATGTTAGGTGGCTCCCTCTGGCCAGCTTTGGGTGAGGCCCTCCCCGCGTGTCAACTGTGGCAAAGGAGGGGACGGGAAGCGGTGGGGAGAGCCCAGGGCCAGGTCTGCTCTCCCAGGAAACCGCTCGGTGGGCGCCAGCCTGTCCCTGAGGCCGGCGTGCTCCTGCGAGGACCCAGCTCTCCTGACCCTGGACCCCGTCCTCCAACACGCTCCCGCCCACGGGCTGAGGACCACGCAGCCACACCAGCCTCCCCCGGGCCCGTGAGCGGGAGCCCACACTGACGGCCCGAAAGCCATCACGAGTCAGTGTGACCTCGGCGCCGTCCCGATGGCCGTGACAGCCTCCTTCCCAGGGTCTTCCCCACCTACTTTCCACGCTTTGGAAGGGGCTTAGGTAGGTGGCGGGTGAAGAAGCCGCCCTCACCCACGGAGGCCAGGTGCCTGAAGGTCTCCAGCATCACGTCCCTGTAGAGGTCCCTCTGACCACCGTCCAGCAGGGCCCACTCCTCGGGGGAGAAGTCCACGACCACGTCCTCAAAGGCCACTGGGTCCTAGGACAGACCATCGATGTGCACCGAGGGGCTCCGCCCTGGGGACCGGCTCCTCCTTTCCCACTCCTCCCCCGAAGGCCCTGCTGGGGACCAGGCGCCTCACAGGGGAGGACAGTCCCGCCACTGAGTGGCCCTCCCAGCCGCAGTCAGCTACCCCAGGCCTGAGGGTTGCACCCAGGGGCTTTACCAAAATGAAAGCGTCCGTCTTTGAGTTTTGAGGCAGGGTCTCTCTAGGTTTGCGCATGACCTCAGCTGGCCGTCCTCCTGCCCGAGCCTCCGGAGCTCAGGCCTAAGGCCTGCCCTGCTCCCCCCACGCACAGGCTGGCTCTTCTTTTTTTAGAAATAAATGTGGCACACATTGAGGTGGCAGTCGGGTGTGACACTCGGCCACAGCTGGGGGTACAATGCCCGAGCCTACAGCTGGGGTGTTCCGAGCACGCGGTGTCCCTCACAGTCCCCACGGGTGGGGAACATCCACCCCGAGCGGAGGTCCGCGCCCCTTACCCACGCCCCCCGCGCACCGGTCCCGGGAGCCCCGTCCTGTAGGCCTTCCAGCCGGCGGTCTGTCTGCCCTTCCTGCAAGACCCTCGCGCTGCAGTGGCAGGACTTGCTCTTCCCTGCAGCTTGTCATGTCCCTGCGTGTCCCTCCACAGTTCTGAGCACGTCTCTCACACCGAGGCGTCTCTCTGCGTCTCTGCATGCTGTGGCCCTTCCATTCTTTCTTTTTTACTACTAAAAAGTTCAATATGAAAATGTGCGTGACCCGACTGGCGTGTCACAGGTCACAGGCCCTCTGCAGAGGGGACGTGGGCCTCCTGCTGAACAGCCACCACCCACCAACCCTCCTGGGATTACAGGCGTGCGCCACCTGCCCAGCTGAGAGAAATGCTAATTTTTTCAAACATTTTTTTTAGTTATAGATGGACACAATGTCTTTTTTTTTTAAAGAGAGAGAGAGAGAGAGAGAGAAAGAGAATTTTTTTTTTTCTTTTTTTTTTTTTAAAGAGAGAATGAGAGAGGACAGAGAGAGAATTTTTTTAATATTTATTTCTTAGTTCTCGGCGGACACAACATCTTTGTTGGTATGTGGTGCTGAGGATCGAACCCGGGCCGCACGCATGCCAGGCGAGCGCGCTACCGCTTGAGCCACCTCCCCAGCCCCGAGAGAGAGAATTTTTCAATATTTATTTTTCAGTTTTTGTGGACACGACATCTTTATTTTATTTGTATGTGGTGCTGAGACTTGAACCCAGCGCCCCGTGCATGCCAGGCGAGTGCGCTACCTCTGAGCCACCTGCCAGCCCACCGTGTCTTTATTCTGTTTATCTATTTCTCTGTGGTGCTGAGGATCAAACCCAGGGCCTCATGTGTGCAAGGCCAGGGTGGGCGCTGGGCCACATCCCCAGCCCCGAGAGATGCCGACTCTGCTGTCTGTGTATTGCTTACCACAGTGACTTGCTCCCCGGCCTCGCTCCCTCTGTCTGCACAGAGACCGTGTTGGAAGGCAGAGCCGGGCAGGAGGAGGACCTGAGGACCAGACGCCCACAGCCACTGCCTGCCCAGCTCTGCTGACCCTCCGTGAGGGGTCCCTCCCAGGAGCACTGTGTCCTGAGGGGACCAGGACTCCGAAGGGGAGGAAGGCAGTGGGACTTCCCGGAAGCAGGGGTCGGAGGTGGCTTCCACGTGGAGGTGACACTACTTAGGTTGTCCCCTCGGAAGCCCCTGAGTCAGATGATGATGCAGGAAGTTTCAGAGGTGACATTGTTAGGTCATGAGAGCTGTGGGCTGATTCATGGGGATTCGAATGCAGTTCTGAGTGGTCACTAGGGGCAGGGGGGCCTGGCTGGAGGAAGAGGGCGCTGGGGGCGTGACCTGGGACGAGATCCTGTCCTGGATCCGCTGTCCCCAGCGGCAGAGCCGGGCGTCCCTCCTGCTCTCCCTGCACAGTGGCTCTGCCTCAGCCAAGCCCAGAGAGAGGCGCGCGCAGTCAGGACGGAGCCTGAAGCTGTGGCCCGGAATAAACTTGTCCTCTGGCTTGTTCTACTCAACTATTTTGGTCACGGTGACACAAAGCTGTCCACACACAACCCGGGGGCGGGGCGTCTTGGTGGCGTTGGTGAGCCCGTGGGGGCTTCTCACCGGCCTGTCGTGGAAAAGCAGGCTTTCCATGGGCCGCCTTGTCGTTTGTGGTCCTTTTAAAATAACGGGTGTGAACACTTGGGGCTCTCCCTGGCAGGCTCTGGGTGGGACCACAAGGCGCTTTTGCAGTTACACCCGGTTTCTCCTCGCCCTGCGTATTAGGGTCTGTCATTTCTGCCCCCCTCCCGGAGCCAGCGGCAAAGCTCAGACCTGTCTTTTGGGTAAGATCAATTCTTTTTTAAAAACATTTTTTTAGGGCTGGGTTATGGCTCGGCAGTAGCGCACTTGCCTGGCATGCGCGAGGCACTGGGTTCGAGTCTCGGCACCCTATCTATATAAATAAATAAATGAATAAAGGTCAATCGACAAATGTTTTTTTTTTTTAATTTTTAATATTTATTTTTAGTTCTCGGCAGACACAACATCTTTGTTGGTATGTGGTGCTGAGGATCGAACCCGGGCCACACGCACGCCAGGTGACTGCGCTACCAGTTGAGCCACATCTCCAGCCCGACAAATGTTTTTTTAATCATTTTTTAGTTGTATATGGATGGACACAATACCTTAATTTTTTATTTACTTATTTGTATGCGGTGGGTGCTGAGGCTCAAATCCAGTGCCCCACACATGCTGGGCAAGCGCTCTGCACTGAGCCCCGGCCCCGGCCCTGGGCTAATTCTTTACTGCACCCCAAGCACCCCATTTTATGATTGAATTTCAAAATAGATCCCTCTAGATCAGGAAGAGCACCAGATTCCAGAAAGATGCCTACTTTAATTTACAAAATATAGAACAAAAGCGAAATAAATGAACAGGAAAAGGAAAGAATTATCAGGAGCGTGAGGAGCCCCAGCCTGGGCTCTGTGGAGGGGTGAGCAGTAGACCCTTAGGCCCAGCCGGGGGCTGGCGCCAGGGGGCGGGAGGGGAGGTGACAGGAGGGGAGGGGGCTTGTCTGCTGGCTGTGGCGCTGAGTGACATGGAGGTCAGGCGGAGTTCTGAGCCGAGCAGTGGCCTGATCCAGCCCAGCGGGCCTCTGTGACCTCCATCACCCTGGTCTCGGGGCTCGGGAGCAGGTCTGCACATGGCTGTGGCCAGGTCGTGGGAGGTGGAGGGTCTGAGGGGAGCAGGGGTGCGGTGCGCGTGGATCAGGCGGATCTCAAGTCCAGCCAGCCGCGTTCCCAGGGGACCGAGGGCGGGTGCCGTGTGAGAGGGCAGACCTCACCTGCTCGGGCGGAGTTAGAGGCCACAGAAGAGGACCAGGGAGGATGGCCATCAGGGAGGATGGTGCAGCAGGTGGGGACGGAGATGAGGATAAGGCACAAGAAGGCAGAGGACACGGTCACTACTGCCCCGCAGAGGTGTGAGCAGGCAGGGATTCCCGCGGGAGGAGGGGCGCCCAGGGACAGCCACCTTCACGCCCGCCCCTGGGAGGCTGAGGATGGCCTCAGCTTGCAGACCCTGCTCCCGGGGTGGGCAGGCCACCCTCCGCTGGACTCCGTGGAGCTCTGTATTTCTGGACGGGCTGCTCACGTGTCTTTGTTGGCGCATGTGGACATTTTAATGAAGCAAAATGCGGAGTTTAAAGAACCCAGATCACTCAAGCCCCTGGTTTCTGTACCGAGGACGGAACAGACCTGGACGCACTTTACAGTTCAGAGAGAACACGGGACGCAATTGTCTCCACAGAAGCCACCACATGTCCACGTTCCTAGGTGGCCCTGGTTCCATAGCCTAAGAATGATGGTTAACCTCTAAGGCCACACAGGACACGAGCCTGGGCCACCCCTGTCACAGACGCCACCGTTTACACACCAAGCCCTCCCTGGCAGGAGGAGGACAGCGACAGATGTGAGCTGACGCACTCCAGAGGGCAGCAGGGAAAACCCGGCCCAGACCGCCCAGTGGAATGCCCACCAGCCGGGTTTCAGCAAGGCCCCCTTCCTTTCTCTAGAGACCCCCCACCTCCCACTCCCCTCATTAGAGTCGAGCAACCAGACCACGTGGTGAAGGAGACCCAGGCAGGAGGGCAGGGCCAGCCGGTCTCCCACTCGCTGGACTCCAGGGTCACGTCAGGCCATCCGACCACGTGGGGCATCCGCCCTGACCACCTGTTCCCAAATGTCCCCAGCCACCTCCCAGGGACACTGGCTCGCGTCCCGGCCTGGTCTCTGCATTTTGCTTGGCAGGTTGGGGTCTGGCTCTCCCCCTGGCCTGTCTGTGGGACTCCGGGCGACAGGGGAGGGTCACCTCTGGCCTCTCCGTGACCCCATCCCCCCGCGGTCAGTGTGTCCCCCAGAAACTAAAACCTGGGGGAAGAACTTCCCGCAGCGTCCGGGCCGAGCAGGGGCAGAGGCTGCTCAGGGTCCCGGGGCACCCCATGCCCACCCTGCTGGGCTCTCCAGAGGGAGAGGACGGGACCCTCCCAAGGCCAGCACTGGGCAGCACCCACCCACACTCACCATCCTGCAGCTCCGGCTCACGCGCTCTGGGGGTCCTGGGCAGCGCCAGGCAGCGCACTGCATCTGGGGCTGGAGGCCACTGAGACCCGCCCAGAGGCCTGGCTGGACTGCGATGCTGACCCCATTGGACGGCCACACCCCAGACACGCCCCAGCCCCTGCAGGGCGTCCCAAGAGCACCCCAGCTCCTGATTGGCCATCTCCTTGACTGGACACTTCCCACGCAGCGTGTCCAGGGGAGGCTGCCCAGGCCCTGGGGCCCCCAGGGTCTCCCTTCTGAAGGGAAGATGGTCCTTAGATGGGCGCAACCCGGGGCCCTCCGGCCGGACTTGGGGTCAAGGGAGGGGTCGGGAAGGTCCCCACCCGTGAGCAGGTCGGCCCAATCGCCTGGACTTTGTAGCATATGAGGACACACTGGCCAGCTGCCTCCTGGACACGGCTCAACGTCTGGAGTCCTTGACCACGGCACAGCTGGGGGACCCCAGGACAATGACCGGCTCTGCGGCCAGCCAGCCTTCAGCAGGCAGAGTGCAGGGGACACTGGGCTTCGGCCCCCTGAGCGCAAACCCAGGTCACGCAGCTGTGCCTAGGATCCCGGCTCCAGGGTCACTTCAGCCTGAAGGCAGGAAAGACGGCTCTGTGTCTGAGATGCCTGTGGACATAGGTGATCAAGGGGACACCGCGGCAGGCCTGTCCCCAGGGCAGACGTCGTGGGGTCCTCTGATCGTGGTAGTCACTTAAGTGCAGGTTTCTTGCCAGTCCAGGGCCCGTCGGCTGAAGGAACCCAACACCAGGCTCCCCGGCTCCCCCCTCCCGGGGCTTGGGGCGACTCACAGTCACCAAGGCTCAGGGCTCCTTCCCCCCCACGACGCCCGGCTCTTTACCAGGCACCCAGCACCGCCCTCTCTCACGCCGGGCTTGGCGGCCTCCTGGGACTGACATGCTGGACCTCGGGCTGGAGCCCTGCCAGAGCTGCAGCTGTCCCCACCCAGCCCTGAGGGCCGGGCACTCTGCTGGGGTCACGGGCCCACGGAGCCTCCAGACGCGCCCGCTGCAGCTGCCCCTCACATCAGGGGCACTGTGACGAGCGAGCGGCGACCCCACCCTCACGTCCTCCCCGGCCTCCCTCCGACCCCGTCATCGGAGCCCGTCCCTGTGTCTCTCACCGAAGCCGTGGGCTTCCTGCCGGCGCCACGCCCCTCTCCCCCTGATGGAACTGCATTCCCTGCTCTGCGCCCACGCGGCGGCGCCGTCCTGCCCACTCCATCTCGGAACCGTCAGGAGGTGAGCAGAGCCCTCCTACCACCCAGGCGGTCAGCTAACATCCAGGTCATCGTGAGCACAGCGCCCTGGACACCAGAGCAGCTGATGACCACTTGGCCCCGGCCTGCGCTGGCCAGCCAGGAGACTTTCCTTCCCTTAAAGGGGCCGCCCGCTGCGAGGGCGGCCAACACGGGCCAGGGTTCACGGATACCCGGCCCCGCCAGGAGACAGGGTCGTCCACCACGTCACTGAAATGTCTGAGAAGACGCCACAGAGCCCTGCCCCGCCACTCGTCCCCCGGGATCTCCCCAGTGGCCCGGGATGACTGACTCCAAGTGCTCCTCCAAGGCCCGCCGTCTTAGTTGTGCGTTTCTTGGGCAGGTGGCCTTTAAGATCTACACACAGAAGGGCACTCGTCACACACACAGAAGAGATGACACAAATCACCCACTGGGGACGGGTTCATCGGGAGGCTGACTCGGTTTCCGTTTGGAATCCACGAGACAAGAACCCAGGGAGCAGGAATGGCTGGGGTCCGCCGCCACCTGGGGGCACGGCCACCGTAGGGAGCCGCAGGGAGCAGGAGAAGGGAAGGAACTTCCCGAGCAAGAGCCTCCGACCGTGCAGGACGTGACCTCGAGTGGCACACACAACAAACTGGGCGGGGACGCACGGAGCAGGGACACCCACGGGTGATATGAAGAGCCGCGAGGAAATGACCCCTACGGTTCTGGATATCGTCCTCCTCCAGAGCAAGGCCCGGCGGTGAGGCACCGTCCAGGCAGGACTCGGGAGCCCTCCCCGCCCCCATGGTCATCCCGACAGGATCCTTACTCCAGAAGGTTCCAGCTAATGGGCCACCCTCGTGCCGTTTCCTACACCACGTGTTACCCCCAGAGTCAGCAACACGATTCACCTCCGCCTCACGGTAAGGGACCGTCGGAGGCACTGTGCGCAGAACGGCCCTCCCCACGCACCCTCAGGAGACCCGGCCACTCGGGCGCGGGACCCGCGTGCTTGACGCAAGACTCACCGCAGAGCAAGTGACCAGAGGGGCCTGCCCAGCTGCCCCCAAGGGCAAGGGCAGCGGGCTCTCAGGGCGATGCGGCGGGAGGCTCTGGAGCGTGGCGCCCACACTGGTTTCAGGATTCACGCCGGTGCCTGAGGGCCAGGATGTGGCTCTGAGCCTCACCTGGGGAGGGCACACTAAGGGTTACAAGGGCGCGAGTCGTTCAGGGTGCAGCGGGAGGGTGCCTGAGGGCCAGGACGTGGCTCTGAGCCTCACCTGGGGAGGGCACGCTAAGGGCTACAAGGGCGCGAGTCGTTCAGGGTGCAGCGGGAGGTCATCGGGAATCACCCGCAGGGATCTGTGACAGTGCCCAGCGCCTCCTAGAACCATGCAGGGATCTTTTTATTTGGGGGGTAGGATGGAAGAAATTGACCCATGCATTTTGGGGTGAGTTTGGAGGGCTCTGAGACAGTCACCTCCTAAGTAACTGACCACTTAAGTGAGATGGTGGCTCTGTGGCCGGATTCATTCCGCTAGTGCCTTCAGGAGGCTGGAGCAGCTGTGCGAGCACCGGGCTGGACCAGCTCACAAAGTGGGAGGCCATCGATACTGCACAAGGGAGAACCTCACAGAAAGGTCACCTTGCCGCTGGATTTAGGATCTGGAAAGTCTCGGACGGGGATTCACAACCGAAAGCCGGTGAAAGAGAATTCAAAAGAAAATGGAAGGAGACGGGCCTCGAGGGATCAGCTTCACTCAGAGCAGAGGGGCAGACTTTCAAGGGGAAAATGGTGGCGGGCTCCAACAGGGGTCTGGTGGCATAGGGTTCAGCGGAGCCAGGTGGGGGGAGGTTGGTGTCAGGTTCATTTAGGGTGGAGCAGGAGGGTGGTGGGGGAACACTGTAGACCAGGGGAGTCCCTGGAGCCCACTGTCCATCTCCTTCGTTCCGCACTCTGGGAGGGGGTGATGAGCTGGGGGCCAAGTCCTGGCTGCTTCCTGCTGCGATGGGGTGGGTAGGAGACCCCTGCAGAAATCTGGCGTAGGGCAGGGGACGGGAGGGACTTTAGGTCCCTGTGCAGTGCTGGCAGTTGTGGCTTGAGGGGGTGCAGAAGGAGGTACTTGGACACCCTCACGGGTGGCTCCTTCCTGGTGGGGTTCAGAGAGCCACGTGGCTAGTGAAGGAGGAGGGTGGCTTCTGCGAGTCCTGGGTGGGGGTCTGGGCTGGACAGCTCACCTTACCCAGAAGAGCCTCGGTACCCAGTTAGGAAAGCCATGGGGGGCTGGGTGGGGCTGGGGGCAGAGCGGTCCTCTCACGAGTGTGAGTCACTGGTTCGATCCTCAGCATCACATAAAAATTTTTTAAAAATAAAGATATTCTGTCCATGTACAACTTAAAACATATTTTTATAAAAATCTCCATTGACAACTAAAAGATATTTTTTTAAAAAGCCGGGGGGAAATGTCATTACAAGGAAAAACGAGTGTTAGAGGGTTAAAGAGGGAGAAGCCAGCAAGTCCTCCGTCTTAGGAATCAGCTGGGTCTCACCTCTGCTCTTCCGTTGGGTCCTGTGGTTGGGTGACCTTATCAGTCCTGATGGACACAGAAGCCACATTCTTCCCTGAAAAAGAGGCAGAGGCCACCTTGCTCAGCAGTAGGAGATCTGGACCCCCGACTCTGCAGGACAGCAGACGCCGGGATCCAGCTGACTTTGCAGTCAGTACCGACCCGGCCACCTGTTGGGTGCCTTCAATCACCTGCACTGTGAAGAGAGATCCCCCCACTGCTGGCCCCGTGAGCAGGGGAAGGGGCTCAAGGGCTGTCCTGGGTCTGCTGTGTGAGGTCCTCTCAAGACAGGCAAAGCTTGGATGTTAGGAAAAACAAAAAGGGGAGGAGCAAGGTCAACCAAGGTGCAGAGGCTGCTCCAATTAGTGGTAGGCAGGGGGAACACGGGCCTCACAAAGGAAACATGCCTCCAGATTTGGGGACACCAGGGCTGTGGGGCTGACCCACGTGTAGGTCTTACGTTCTATTAAAATAGGACCATTGTCTCTTAAATGCCCAGGTATGGGTCCACTTGGTTAGAACTGGTTTTGCTGGGTGTCAAATTGATCTTGTTCCTGTCTATTGTAGGAGTCACACTGAGTTCCCTCAGGGCATCACTCTTGGAAACTGTGAGCAGCCTCTCAGCTCAGGGTTTCCTTGACCACGTGGCTTCCCTGGGAAGCATCAGGGATGTCTCCCTTCTCCAATGGCCCCCTTCTCGGCAGCATGTGCACTGGTTGGCTTTCGGTTCTCCAGGGTCTCATGGATCCCCCTGGTTGGGAGGTCATGTGGCCCAGAGTTGCAAAGCCCAGGTTCAAGCCGACCCGGAGGGCAAGAGGCACACATTGGCCATTTTCTCTCTCTTGCCCTTTTATTTCCTTATCTCTAGTCTCTAGGCTTTGGTCTTAAACATCGAGCAAGCCAGTTTCACGAGTCTTAAAGTAAGACTTTGATGTCTATAATTTTACAGCATTATTTAATTGGGGTCGGTATTAGGAGTGGAAATTAGCCTACATCCTGGACGTCTACAGATGATGGCCTATTACCTCAGACTAACCCAAGTTGTCATATTGAAAGTTGAACTTTTGTAGGACACTGACAGACAACAGTTAAAGTTTACCAGGAAAATATCAAATAAGATTGTGAGGACCCACTCTGAATGACTTGTGCCTTCCATCCTGAAGTGGAGGGCTTTGACTGGTCACTACATTTCATAGTGACCTGGACATTGTCCTGGTCCAGGAAGTGAGGGTGTGTCTTCAGATGTAGGCGATGCCCC